AACAAAGACAACAACGCTGAACAAAGACTTTAAAGCTGCATTAATCAGTATTTTACAAACAACTGACATTGTAATAAATGACTACATGTAATGTCACAGTATCACAGGGACAAAATTATAATCCAGCTCTGAAATCTTTTGCTTCTTTTAGCTCAATGTGGTGCTTTTCCAGGCCCCATGTTTACTGTGCGGTCTCACAGTTCATAGTCTCACAGTTCTTATCATCTACAGCTGTTTTCAAATCCCTGGCTAGACATACTATATTATGTTACAAGACACATATATTAGGTAACAAGACACATTCAGGTCAAAGTGCATGTGAGGAGGCTTTGTGAAGTTTTGCATCTACTGTGAGACAACTAATAAGACAAATACTGCAGGCGTTTACCTTACAGGTAAAGCAAACAACATGCTGCACTATACAAATTCTCTCTCTGAGCTATAAGAGACAAAAGTAACTGTTTAGAGAGATGTTTCAACTGAACTTCAATATGGTTTCACAGGTATTACATAATCGCTGCTTCTCCAGGGAGAATTTCTGTTTAGTTCCATACATGTTTTAATGCACTAGCACACAGTACAAAGTAAATTAAAGATTTATTGTTCTTTACATTTAGTCCCATACACACCAGCACGTACCTTGAGATCCTCGGGCAGAGGTCTGCTGTCTGTTCCAGAGTCTCGACTGAAAACTAAAGGGCACAGAGCGTTTGCTGTCAGGGCCCCGAGGCTCTGGAACAGCCTGCCCGAGGAAATCAGGTCGGTTGAGTCAGTGAACTCTTTTAAATCCCTTCTTAAATACTTTACTACTTACTTACTACTTACATACTTTTATAGGAGAGCCTTTCCCGATCTTATTTTACTTTATTTTATTCTATTTTACTTATTTTATATTTATCTTAAACGTGTATTTTAGTCTTTTCAGTGTTTTCTTGCTTTTATCTTGTATTGTTTTTGTATTATTGTCTTTTGGGTATTATTGTCTTTACACTTGTTAAAGCACTTTGTAACTTGCTTTTGAAAAGTGCTCTACAAATAAAGATTATTATTATTATTATTATATAAAGCTGTAATCACCGTCTTAAAGACTTATTTAGTGCTGAAAAGTTGAGATGATTGATCATCAACACAATTGTGATAATTGTGTAATTAATTTAGCAAAAATGCCAAACATATGCTGCTTCCAGCTTCTCAAATGTCATCTAGGGTGCTTGGAAATTGTGGTGGCCGTTTTCACTACTGTGTGACATTATGTAAAATAAATGTAGCTGCAGGACTTTTAAACAAGACTTCATTCACATTTTGCTCCAAAAAAAAGAGATGATATGACAAGGGGGTCTCCGTGAATCAAAGGGGGATGCTGAATGCTACACCCCAGCTGCCAGGCTTCAGTGCACTAGTCTGACACACAGTTGTTGTGAAACCTTAAGCTAATTTATTCAAATAGGTTGTCCCTCTATCAGTTCAGTAAAGTAGGTTCAACCCTGAAAGAAAAAGGCACCAAACTAAAGTTGCCTGCTAATAACAAAAATAAAACAAAGACCTCTGATGACAGCCAGTGATCCTCTGTATGGTTTTGGAGGCAAATGACTTGGTTGCGCAATAAAAAACAAAAGCTTTGTACGAACTAAATCAGCAGTTATCAGAAGTATTCATCCTCACTGACTGAACTTTGGTCTTATGTCAGCGCCTCAGTCAGAGACAACTTATCAGTGACTCTGTACAAAGTTCAGTTGTCCACTGGACCTCAATGTCCTAACAAAGTCATAGCTTCTTAACTAACTTAACGCTAATAATCCAGCGATGCCAGCTGTACTCTTGCCAATGCATCGTCTAAAACAAATTTATATGTCAGGTTTCTGAAATGCTCAGAGCTGTAAGCCTGCAGGCTGCTGACTGACAGACTGAGCTGCTAATCCAGCTGCTGGGTGAAAAACTAAACATGAGCAGCTCTAACGTTAACTAAATAACTTGAGCTGAGTGAATGGACAAGATACATTTAGTCAAGAGGACACGCAAGGTGACAGAGATCAACCCTTGAGACTGTGGAGCAGGCTGGCAGGGGGTTAAAGTTAGATTTCACCTGGACGTTAGCGAAAAGCTAGCTAGTTAGCTGGCTGGCTAACTGACACTGAGTTATAACAACATACACGGATGGCAGGCTAATGTGGCTAACTAGCCTGGAAGCTAACCCTGACAGCCAACCAAGGTTAGCTTAGCTGGCCAGTGCAAGCCTGTGGGAGGCTGCAAAGCACAGAACAGAGTAAATGAGTATTATTATATTACAGAAACTATACTGTCAAATATTTCAAGCGATTAAAAGTATAATTTACTAAGATACTTACAAAGCAGCCTGGCAAACAACCTGCTGTGAGACATCTTCGGTCATTCACCAATGACACCAAAGCCTGAGGACCAGACACATGGATTATAGCTGACTACAAATATCCCATCAAAATCTGGATATTAATTGCTTCATAATGAACTCCGGGTTTTCTGTATTTATTAATAATTTACTGCCGGTGTTTTTTCCCCTTAAACTGTGAACACAGCACAAGCGACAAAAGAGACTCAAACTGGCATTAAAATTATTACAGGCGAATAGTAGTCTGATTCAACTCACAATGAATTCTGGGTAGTGGAGTTCTGTACGCAATGTCGTGCAAGAAACTTTGCACAAGAGCACTAGAGGGCGCATCAACCACAAGGATCATTTCAGGAAACGTCACCCTGGTTGCCCTTAGCCAACAATAGCTTGAAAGTAAACTTTTGACCTTGGAAACAGTAATTAAAAAAACAAATCTTTACTAAAAGACCACTTTCAAGCATTTTCTGGAGCTTTCAACCGCATACTGTCAATTTTAATCAAATATATTTTGTCAGTTGTCCATATCCGTTCATTTTAAGATACTCCTTTTTTTGTGATGGGTTCAAATAATAAATTAACTGGTCTATAGAATCAGAATCAGCTTTATTGGCCAATTATGTGTACACATATGAGGGACTTGACTCCTGTTATAAAGTGCTCTCAGTGTACATACACAGACAGACAGTGGAAAAAGTAAACATAGTACAATTATGTACATACAAGTAGGTAAAAAATAGGTGTATTATATAAATACATATGAAAAGCAACAATAAGCAACAGCGCACATTATCTATATGTAAGTCAAGTGTCCTTTAGATTTAGCAAATACAAATAGTATAAAGGAATAAAAGCACAAGATTACATGTGGTTATTCAGTATATGCATGCATACATACAGCACACAAAATAACTGACACAAGATGTCTGACTGAAGTGTTCATAAGAGTGATGGCCTGTGGAAACAAACTGTTCTTGTGTTTGGTTATTTTTGCATACAATGTTATGTATCTCCTACCAGAGGGCAGAAGTTGGAATGTAAAATAGTTAACTATCATTTGTCTTGCATGATGAAAATGACACTTGTAATGCCCATTTAAATTAATAGGCCCATGGCGATTCTGCTCTAAATTGCACTAAACCCAACTGTACATTGCTGAACTTGAAGAATATGTGCATTTTACTTTAGAAATGCAATAATGCTTTATAGGAAGCTTATTGGGGCACATTAATCTACATGAAAGATTGGCTCTTTGGTTTTTTGGAGCTTTGGCTCTGGGTGACTGAAGAGTCGCTGTGTCTTCATTACCTCCTCTTGTGGGCAAGTTGTGACATGCGAGTTTCCCAAGAGAACAGGATTCTTTGGAGTTTGCCAGGTATTTAGTTGGCAATGTATGTCACATGCTAAGTACATTCACTTACATACTATATTTACTTTAAATAGGACATTTTCTCATAGCAAAATATTTTACTTTTTAATTGTCTAAATGTAACAGTTATTTGTGTAGATTCCCCTTTATCAATACTTTCAGAATTCAGTGCAATTCTGTAGTCAGACTTAACACCAGCTGTACCACCTACAACATTATAATACTGTTTAGGTTTTATAACCTAATTAATTTACAGTAATGTCATATTGTTATAGGCACCAAGTTGCATTATGTTAATAAATATTTGTTCAATAAAAATATGACATGTGACCTTTTCTTGTAATTGGAGTATATCTATTAGGATACTACAAATTATACTTCGCTTGTAAAAGAAATAGTTCTTAATCCTATTCAATTTGAAGTCGATTAAATTCAGTGTCCCAGGTCCTGGTGCACGAGATTGGCAGGTTTTCTATTACACCTCGTCATCTGCGGTCACCTTGTTCCTGGCTGGACAGTGGGAATGTACCACTTTTAAGAACAGGAAAGTCTCAAACTATAATCTGGTGTATGTTCAAGTTATTATGTTGCCATACTGTATGCACACTAAAGTTATTCACTGGTAATGGCATTCTTCGATCTCAGGCTTCCTCCAACAACGATAATACAATTATATTTGAAAAAATATAATTTAGTTGATATCATACAAAATACTGAATGTGGTTAATTGCATTCACATATCTGAGGGAAACGTTCCTGCAACACGAATTAAAAAATGTGTCAAACCCATGTGTCAAACAAGATGAGCCACAATAACGATGCCTTTGGGTACCCCGAAATATTTTGTTATTTTGTGGTTGAAACCACATTTAAAAAAACCCTACGAAGTGAAACCATGACTGTTTATATGGAGCAGGGATCAAACGATTGCAGAGAGGTGACTTTAAGTGATCGGTAAGTTAATGAGTTAAAACGTTTGATTAACCCTATATTTTAAAACGTTTTACATATTTTTCTTGTGTGGTCTATAAACTTCCAATAAACTATCTGAAGCGAAGTTTACGAGGTGCACTTGAAGGAAGCAGAAACGACCTTCTTCATCCTGCATTCGAGTTGTCCAATCAGGAGCCACCAACTCCTCCAACGCTTATTGGTCACACGCTTCAACGTCACAAACAACGCTGTTACGTGTATTCACGAAAACTCTAACGTATTATTTTGTAAATGTTTTTCAAGTTTCCACGGTAAGAGTGTACGTACCGGTGACAAGCTGCGCACAGAAATAAACGCAATGACATGAACGAACCCCAGGAACTATCCAAGTCAAATGCAAAACCTGCCACACTGAGCTATTCAAGATGGTTTTCGAAACTATTTCAAGGATAATAAAAGTCCAGCTTCCAGCCTACCTCAAGAGGCTTCCACTTCCGGAGACGATCGGCGGATTTGCAAGGTTAACAGGTAACAAACTGCAGCTGTGGTGCACTTCTGACATGTCATGTGAAGATGAATTCTCAACTCATCGGGGCCACTTTTCACAGCACATAACAGTTAGCTCTGTGCCTTTAGCTAGCCTGCAAATTATAACTCAGTCACAGCCCTGCTGTGGACGGCAGCGTCCTACAAAACCTGTGTTGTGTCCTCAAGTGTAGCCTGGCTCCCATCAAACTCTTCATCATCGTTTGATTTTGTTGTTAGAAACATCAACTCAGCAGTGACCTTAAGGTAGTGCCTGTTATGTAAAGTAGTGCTCCTCACAGTTAAATTTGCTTGTGTGTTTTTAATGTTGATGCAATGCTGATCCATACCATAAAGTGCATCTTATATGCCAGCCTGTAGTATGCTGTTTAAGTGATATCCTCTTATTAATCTCAACAACTGCATATCTCCTGCTATGTTGGCCACAATATGTCAGTCATATATCAGTTCAGTCTTTCACAACATCTTTTGCCCTAGACTAGAGGGTACTACAGTCTCAAAACACAAACTACCTCAAGATCCGTGTCAAACTGCTACAATTAGCCGATTAATAGCTGAGTGGAATGAAATGAATTGATTTAATAGTTGAAGAAACAAAAACACCAAACATTCAATAGTTCCAGCTTCTCAAACGTGAGAATTAGCTGCTTTTTCTTTCTTTCTTTTTGCTTACATTGTAGTTAATTGAATTTTGGACTGCTGGTCAGATGCAATTGGGGGGTTTGAAGATGTCAGCTTGGGCTGTGGTAAATTGTGACATTTTCCAGTTTTCTGGTCCCCAGAATAATGTGTTATAATGATAATTTGTTTTCAGCAGCAATGGGGACTCTCCACCAGGATTATTTGAATATATTAAAGTATCAGTGTATGCAACTCTACTGAAACGATACAGTAAATTTGGTATCGTCCCAATTCTGACCTTATTCAGTGGATTGGGTATCCACTGTGATGTAACCGATCCACAATCATTCAGTATCATTGTAAAATTCAGTGTTTTCTGCTATCAGAAACGTTGACTTTTTAATGCCACAGCAATGCCTGGGCTCATGTTAACTCACACAAAAAACGATTCCAGTGAGTTACACACAGCCAGGTAAACAACTCTTTAGACTACATCGTGAGCTGTTCATGTCTCATCACGTCTCTTGCACCTGTTAAATTTGAAAACACAAAAGTGTATTAATTTACTCATCTAGTTAGAACAAGTTAAGTTTAAGTGCACACTTGAATACAAAGGAGTACAAAGTACAGCAGTGGTTTAGAGAACCAAAGTGCATCTTGAAGATGATCAGCCACTTCAACTCGACCTTTCAGCCTTTGGGAGAGTGTACATGTAGCCTAATAATAGCCCAAAAAAGTCGAAAAGCTGAGCTAGCCTGAGCGTTTCTGCAATGTTTTAGTGACAGTCGACATGCTAGAATCATTTAGGTAGTGCCTCTCCGAGAAAGCCACGAAACCAAGTCTTACTGTCATTGGCTTTTCAGTTATAAGTTTCTAGATGTTGACGAAAGTTAAAACCTCTTTCCTGTCAGAAAGGAGCAATTTAAACAGTGCAGATTAGAGGATGAAAGATGCATAAAGTGCTCCTACATGTGAAATAGAATTCCTTTAACGAGATTAGGGATTAGCAACATCCCATTAGGCATCAGAATCCTTTTATTGAAAGTATTTAATTGCCCCAAGAGCATTACGAAAAGTTCCGGGGTACAACTCATAGCTAATAGTAAAACTGTGGTTAATCCTCACTGTGCTTCACGTGTCTGTTCTCTCTATGTATGGTGGACTGCACGATGGTTATCCCAAAGTACATTTCTTGGCTCAGTGTGGCATTTCCCCCAGATAGCTGCTGCAACAGATACATTGTGTTAACCTGCAGACACGAGGATGAGGAGGAGAATTGAAGTAGGTTTAGCGTGGCTGCTCACTTAAATCTGTTAACATGATCATGTATTTTCAAAATTTTAGTTTAACTGCATCTGACACATTTGACATAAACACTGCAACTTAAATCTGTTTTAATGTCTCAGTAACATTATCATGTAATAGATGTCTACTATATTAGCCTTTTGAAAACATAAACAATACTTCAGACAACATTTGATGTTTCTTTTACATTGGCGATTGCTTATGTCGTAGCTTTAAAACAAAAGGTATTCAATTTACTTTAATATGTTTACATTTATTTACATTTATTCATTTAGCTGACACTTTTATCCAAAGCGACTTACAATTGCTATACATCTCAGAAGTCGCACGCCTCTGGAGCAACTAGGGGTTAAGTGTCTTGCTCAGGGACACAATGGTGGATGTCTCACAGTGGGAACTGAACCCAGGTCTCCCACACCAAAGGCAAGCATCTTATCTATGCTACGCCACCACCATGTCAAAGAAAAGCAAGTCCCCACATTAGAGAAGCTGGAATGAGTAAATATTTAGAATTTGTGCTTGGAAAATGGCGCAAATGTTTAAGTGATAATCAAAATAGTTGCTGAATCTGTTGATTGACGCATTGATTAATCAACATGTCGTCAAGTGTCAGATTTTAGTGCATCCAGTAATGCATGGATTACTGGATACTGGAAGCTCTATCCCTTTATAGGGCCAATGCCCACAGCTACATTTTCAGCCTCTGGCCAACACTATTCTAGTTGCATGTATGCCATTGTTCACAGTTATCTTCCTGTGTTTGCTAATATGCTTGCAATGTGTCTGTAGTCTCTGAGTGGCTCCGGTTGCTGCCTCTTCTGGGTATCCTGGCTTTGCTGGGCTATCTGACCATTCGCCCATTCCTGCCAAAGAAGAAGAAGCAGCGAGACAGCCTGATCAACCTGAAGATCCAGAAAGAGAACCCAAAAGTAGTCAACGAGATAGACATTGAGGACCTGAACAGCGCAAATGTTTGTTACTGTCGCTGCTGGCGCTCTAAAACTGTAAGTTGACTGTTTTTTTTTTTCCAAAGTCTTTTGCGTATGGAGAAATGCACTGGGCCTGAAGTGACAGTACTGTCATAGTTCTCTTTATTTGTCACACAGACTGCTAAATACCGTTGATTTAATTATATTAGAGAAGTTATAGTTAACTTAAGTTTTACTCCAGGTTAAGTGGAAGTTTACTGTTTCTGTATCTTGCTGATCAGTTGTTTCCTGTTTTAGTTTCCTGTTTGTGACAAGTCACACTTAAAGCACAATGAGCTAACTGGAGACAACGTGGGACCGCTCATACTCAAAAAGAAGATACTGTAATTGACGGGAGTTTTTCTTTGACCTCCTCAGCCTTTCGTTTTCATTTCTTAACAGTTTGTAGTTTGTCTACTTTTTGTTTTTACAAGAATCTTTGTCTCGCCTTGGTGCCACGTTAATGTTGGACAGAGAGATTGACTTCCAGAGTTTTCATTTGAAGTGGTCCTCTTAACTAACCTCAAAGTACACTTTTCCACAGTGTTTGTGAGAGAACTGTATTTTAGGTTCTTTAATGGCATCATGCAGTTAAGAAGGTTTCATTTGTTGTTGTTTTTTGGCCCATTCTTCATTGCTCACTTTTGGTTAACAAAACAGCCTTTTTTTTTATTTGACTGTAAATTCAGTTTAAGTCATGTCTCAGTCTTTTTCCAATCAACTACAATTCATCATTGGGACCACTTTGAGGAGGAAACTGTAAATATAATTGCAGTGACTTTATGATGACTTTCAATGATCTGAACTCAACAAGGAGTTCCGAGTTAATGGTTGTTTTAATTAAATACTTAATACTAGTCCAACCCCTAATCAACATTTTGTACTGTATGTCTTCATTTTTGACGATTCTTTGGTATTATTTAACAGTCTTTTTGTCTGTCTGTCTCTTTTAAGTTATTATGTGTCTTGGAGGCTACTTATTCCTTCTTCAGATGTATTTTGTTCATAGCCTATATAACAGTTTTTGAAGGCTATGAACAAGGCTATGAGTTTTACATTTTGCATTCAACACCGTTGCCTATAAACATTTCAACCCACTGCACCATGGTGTAATATCCAGTTACAGTTTTACCCTCACCATCCCATTGATTTGACAATGTAACTTCTGCAGGACAAGAGCTCTACTGTTTTTTTTCTAGCCTCTGTAATGTCATAATGGCTGTATATAGTTGACTTCCTGCTAGAAGATTTCCTCTTAAATTCATCAACAATATTTTATACATAAATGGCTTTTGTCATCAGATCTGTGTTTTCATGATGATGTGATGCATGTTTGCATGTTTATGTACCTTTTGTAAGAAATGGCTGTAATCTCTTCATTCTGCATTTGAAATGTAACATGTAGAAATAAGAATCCCAATCAGCTTTATTTGCCAGGTATGTATACACATACGAGGAATTTGACTCAGGATTGTACTTTGCTCATGATGTGCTTACTCATACAATAATAAAATCAGACACAGGCTACAGTATAGAGAACATATATATATATAGACTCTATAAACAAAAATACTATAGACAGATTGAGACAATAGTGCAATGAGCAGAGTGCAAAGGATGCAGGAGTAAATTATTATTGTTAATACCACGTACATGTCGGCGGTGGATGTGATACACATGTACACAGTGTGATGGAGCATAGTGCGAAGGATGCTGGAAAAAATAAGTATTATGTGCAGGTGTTATGTACTTGAGGTAGGTGGATTTGGTATATGGTAAATACAATATGACAAAATGAACAGCACTGAAATAGAGAAGGATGAATAAATAATAGATGGTAGTCAGTAAACAGGTGGCTGATTAGAAACCGAGTTACTGCAGTGAGTCAGAAGTCAGCTGTTCATCAGAGTGATGGCTTGTGGGAAGAAACTTAAGGATGTTCAAGTCAACAGTTTTGTCAGAAACAGAACTGCGGCTTCATTCTCTTTTTCATTATGATTTTGAAATTTTAAATTAATTACAAGATAACCAATCACTTTCTAATTGTCTGCAACTCTTATTATTATTCTTTAAGTAAAACTTGCATTCAGGGTAATATTCTGTAGGAGTGCATTGTTTTGGGCACTTCTTTCAATACAGCTTCAAAAAGAAAAAAACATGCCAACAATGGCATCAAATATTGTCTTGCTCATGTATTCTGTAAAGTGAAAACTTTAAGAACAAGCCTCAGACTCTGACTGAGATGCTCTGTGAGGCTGTACTTAAGCAGGGATTTGAGCTAAATACTAACATGGTGATGTTGAGCAGGTGTAAGGTTTACCATTTTTCACCGTCTTAGCTCAGTGGGTTAGCATGCTAACGTTTGCTAATTAGCACTAAACAAAGTACAGGTGAGGCTGATCGTTGAACGTCATTAGTTTTTCAGGTATTTGGTCATAAACAGCAAATAAATTTGACCTGATGATGGTGCTGGATGAAACGTCGGCATCACCATCATACAAAATTGTGTTCTAGTCCATCCAGGAGATGTTGAGATATTTCACCTGGTAAGTGAAAACTTAAAAGCCTGCTGGAGGAACAGGAGAAACAGTCAGGAGACTACCAAACGTCATTAGATTTAATCTTCTTGGCACCATAGTTATTCGTACCAAATTTCATTGCAATTCATCCATCGAGTGGTCTGACTGACAGGTGAACACTTCCGTCCCTGGAGCAACAATGCTAGCGTTGCTAAAAAGCAAAAATTTCCGTAACCTAAATTAAGCACATGCTAAAACATATAGTAAATCATTGTGTTGCATAGTAAAACAAAGACACTGACAATTCTTTGTATGTTTTATTATTTATTGTTTCAACAATATTAAAGTAAAAAACTAATGCTGAATTATGTATCATAAATAGTTGCTAATAATACACAAGAACCTCTTGAGTGTAAATACATTCAAACTAATCAAAAACATCTTAAGTTACACTGCATATTTCTGTAATAAAAAAAATGTAACAAATGTGAAAAATTTACTTTCCTTCATAATCAAACAATAAAAGATGGGCTTTACATGAACATTTTGAATATGGGCATGATCGTTCGAGCATTCATGATATTGAAAGCTGACATAGTGAATGTAGTAGATGATAGGAGTTTTTGCAGCACTGTGTATAATCCACAGGAAAGTGTTGTAGATTATACAGATGATTTCCTGAGTCTTTGTAAACTACACAACCCCTTTTCATCAAATCACACAGCATATACATATTTTATTACAATATGCGCAAAAATACACAAACACAAATCGGTAAAAATACTGTACTCAGAACACCTAAAGACAAACCTGTCAACTGTGTAGTCTAAAACAAAAAAATATAGCTACTCTCGGTACATTCAATTATGAAGCCCTCCAAGTAAACTGCTTACAATAAAATACAGCATTACCATTTTTTTCCAAATACACTAGATGGTTTACTTAAGTGTAATCATAAAAAATGAGCAAATAGCAGATTCAGTGAATATAACAGGGAGGAACAATATCCGCCTTTACAAAAAATGTAAACCATATTCATGCCTCACACCAATATATCTGATTAGATGTTCATTTGGGATGAGAAACAAAACCACCTCATGTATACAATTCATACATGATGACAGCAGACCCTGGGATGTGGGTCATTTGTTTGGAGCCTGATGCTGGGAAACCACAAGAAGCTAAAAATACAGAGTGATTCATGTGCTCCTGCAGCATGGCAAATATCAGGAGCTGACCAGCAGACAGAGAGAGACAAACAGAGCCACTTGGTGGCTAACGGAAAGCTCAAGGAAGTCTCCTAGAAATGTTCTTGCTTACTGGATGAAGACGGGTGATGTCAGAGTGTACTCTCATAGGTGACAGGAGTGTCATTGTCTTCGTCACCTCCTGCTGCAGTGCCTAGGAAAGGCGAAGAGGAGACAGAGGGAGAAAAGGCCATGAGGAAAGCTTAAGTACAAGACTGATGACACGCTATTCAGATTCTCTAGTCGACAAAACACTAGTGTATACCCATGACTTGCACTTTTGCACTGTGGTTAATCCAGTGTTCTTACACTGTAACTGTAACAATGCCACTGTTGTGTGGATGTAAAAGACATGAAGGCATGAATGACAGGGTAAACAGAAGCACCCTAAAGCTATGCAAATCCTTGTCTGGAAATACGCATCAATCACAAAGGTGGAGAAGGGAAAAACATTGCAGGAAAGGATATTCACAACGCAAACACAACTACAAGGTGAGGTTCGACAAAGGTGTTCAGCCGTGTTGAATTGTTCAATGTAGGACTTTACCTACCTAAGAAGAAAGCTGATAAATTGGGTTTGACTCGCTCACCACAGGAGTTCTTTGGTTTTTGTAGCAGGCGAGGTCCAGTGAGGCCTATGATAAGAGCTCCTACAGGGGCAGTGAGAAGGATGGCCAGCACAGCCACAGTCAGCACTTCCATGCCGTACTTCTGCAGCTGCTTGTCATCCTTCGTCCTGGCCATGTCTAAAGCCGTGGAACCGATGGCCGCCTGATGAAGAAAAGGACACTAGTGATTCCTCTATACTCACTCACAAATGACATTTACCACATTTACCATCAATATGAGTGGACACATTTGCATTGTGCGTTTTCAATCATTGTGTTCCAAAAAGAAAATCTTCTGATATGCACTGCAAAAAAATGACGAGGTAAAACTCTCAGAAATATGAGTATACTGCTCTCAAATATTTCAGGACCGACTTACCTGCACTGTGGCTTTGGGCATCCACGCCAGGGCTATAAACACTTTTTCCCTCATGTTAAAGCCCGCACAAAACACACAGACAAAGGTGAACAGGAGTCGAACCAGCAGGCCAATGAGCAGAGTGGCTATACCCAGACCTAGATAAACAGAATAAGAGTCATACAGAGGTGTCTGTGAAGGTTCTCAGTCATCCAGGTCATAGTTCTCCAACTAAGGCTGAGGTCAAGGGCAACTGGACTTGGTAGAAGATACTAGAAGACGTTTCGTCCCTCATCCAAGAGACTTTTTCAGTTCTGAGTGACTGGTAGGGAAACTCAGCTATTTAACCTCTGGGCTCGTTAGCTAGGATCGTCAATACTGCTGGTTCATTAGTGCTAATCGTTACCACAAGTAGGAGCACCTAGCCACATGCCACACTATGTGTTATGTATATAGGTCCAATTTGTATGTGTGTGTGTATTTAAGACCTGTGTGTGTGAAAAAACATTGCAATTTCCCCTTGCAGGATTAATAAAGTATGTCTTCTTCTATGTGTAGTTATGGGGGAGAAATCAAAGATCTGTATACTCGAAGGAGCTCTCTGGAAGCGCTAACACAGGTTTTAATATTTACTGGACGCAAACAGACAAAGGTTCTTTTTTGGCTATGCAAATATATTTACATCCATACAATCCCATTTGAATCTCTCAGTGCTAACAGCCACCTCACTGTGTTATTTTGAACTGTATGGTCATCTCACCAACTGTGTGTCCCTCCAATTCAGAGACTCGAATCTCTGCTCCTATCAGTCCGAACAGCAAAGGCTGAAACACGTCCCACGCCCATCCCACCACTTCCTCCACACGGGCCTTAAGACAAACAGAACACACAGAAATGTTTAGGTTGGTTATCTGGTTGGCACGCAGCAGTGTGGACAAAAAATGACTAACGTACTGATGAAGAATTTACAACCTAGTAGGAGCTTGGTAAACAGTATGCCTAATAATTCATTACAAAAAATATACTTTTCTGTCAAGTAAACCTTGTCAAAATTCAGCCCTAAAGATGTTATTACCTTTTCCGACCCCCAGCCAAGGCCAGCTAGGAATGCCAGCACCAGGGTGCAGAGGCCTCCCGAGCCAGGAAAGCCAGCCACGGCACTGCCGAACACGGCAAACACGGACAGACCCAGGACCAAGAAGGAGCGCTTCATTACTATATGTTTCTAGGTGAAAAATGATTAAATGATGATGTCAATGATTAAATATAGAATATCTTAATATTATGAAATATATTACTAAATGCTCCATATAACACTTGTAAGGCATCAGCAGATATTAAGTAGATATACAGAATATAGTTTACTTGTGTTTAACCAACATACAACTCTCGAGTCTGACATTCTGTGTAAGGAAATCCAGGATTCACAAAAAACCTAGAAGTGTTCACATTAAAAGTCCTCAGAGTTTATCATTTTAAACCAGAAGTGGAACAATTCACTGGCTTTTTTTTCTCCCCTCTACAAGCATTTATTGGCTCTTCCCACACTGTTTCATACACAGGCTGTGGTGTCAAGTGGTGCAAGGATGACTAAGTAGTAGTAAAACAGGCCAATATCATGGTGACGCTGTAAGAGCATGCCTACCTGGTCAACACTCGGAAAGTACTGGATGAGGAAGCCAAGGAGGATCCCAGCAACAGTCCCACCTACGACCTCCAGCACACCTCTCAGGAGGTTGTACCAAGTGGAGCCTGGAAGGATCAGCAGAGAAAACATAAAACTAATATAATACAATTAACTGAACCGGTTTTCCTGAAAATGTAGGACATTAGCTGATGGTATTATTTAGTTTTTTGACTGCAGTTCGGTCTATCCCTACAGAAGCTCTACCTTGTTGTATACTGGAGTCATGAAACACAAAATGCACTTTGACTTAGCAGAGAGAGTAAGGAGAGTAAGAGAGTAAACAGCGCACTCACACCCTCTGCTGAGCTCCTGAAAAACTACAGATAGAATTTATTTAATCAGCTTCTCAGTGTTCACCTTCACTGGACCGAAGATTAACGTCGTGTCAAATTCATATATCAAGGAAGCAACGCTGAATTCAGCACTTCTTATTTGTGTGTGTGTGTTTGTACATAAAGTACAAACACACACACACACACACAGGTTACCTGTGGCGAAGGCCATGCCCAAGCATGTGGTAAACCCTGTGATGGCGAGGATGTCGTCGAAGCTGCCTGCAGCCATCAACAGAGTGGGGATGCCCTGTTCCACGCCGTAACCATCCTTCTGCAGCAGCAGCATGGAGGGAACCACCACTGCTGGAGACACAGCGCCGAGCACAAAGCTGTGGAAGAGATGGATTGTTTATTGATTTACATGCTCCTACGGAGGCGCAGCAAATAAAGAGCTGTCTTTGGAATCTCAAGAAAGCATCAGCTTTTAAACATGCTTGGAAATATGCAAAAGGGATGCATTCCTGCAACATGATGTGTAGTTTATACTGTGGCTGATAGGTAAGACCTGGTTGAAATTCGACACAACTTTAATTTTCTAACAATGTTCATTTTACTGCGCTGTTCAAACACAGACTTATTTATTAAAATTAACATCCTGCTAATGATATTAAAAAAAGAATGAGCAGATGATTACTACACTGTAAAACACTTATGGTAATCTTCAGTCTCAAAAACATCTGAGTATGTATTGGCCCCCATACACCATTCAAACACTGATAAGCAACATTTGCAGAAGGAGGAAAAGGCCATCAGTGTTGAGCTCAAGCTCCATTTCAACTACTTGATGGCACATGACTGCTGACCAGGCAGAAATATAAAGGCAAAAAAAAGAAAAGCCCATCATCCAATAGATTCATCTTGTCAGCAGTCATATCGCCCACTGTATTGGACATCGGATAAGACGATATTGTTTAATCCAGTGACTCTCTGGGATCAGTGCGTATTCTGTTCTCTTCTTCATGGGAACATGTTCCTTGCAGTTACGGTGTGTTGTACAGTCTAACTTATCCTTGTCATGTCTTACTTCTAACCCTTCACATTCCAACGCTGCTACAGTCTGCTTCAGAGGAGTAAACTGCTCCTATTGTACAGAGAGCTGAGCAGTCTGCTCACTTAGCACATAATGGAATTATGTTGTGAATTAAATGATGTTAGGGAAATATAAGACATGTTACAGTAAAAAGTATAATATAATATAATTTGTCACCCTGCTCTGCTGTAAAGTGCCTAAAGTCTTTTTTAGCCTCTTTTTTAGCGTCACTTAAAGCGTCCCTGGATTCACTACTATGAAACTCATTGAGAGCTTGGCCTCTGCATTTGTTTTATAAGAACTACATATTTTGAAATTAAAACAGTATCTTCTTGGTCTTGTGGTCAAGGCTTCCACATCCCCAGTTCCATTCCTTCTTTTTCACATGTCACACCCTTGTCTATTTCCTGTCTGCATCCTCACATGTCAAAGAAATTGCAAAAGATAAGACTGAAATTTAAATGGTAAAGAGTATGGGAGAGTAAGAAGTGTTATATTTACCCAAGGATGAAGCTCCACACCCAGGGCAAGCCCAAGAGGAAATGAGAGATCAGAGCTGTGGTGCATGCCTCTATGATGCAGGGCCCAGCTGCCACACGTATACACACAGATTTTAGTTTCCTCAGAGCCTGACAACACAGACACATACATCAGTCAAGATTTTGTTACAGTAATTAATTGACTTTTAGTGATGTTGGGGAGAACTGAATGATTAATTGGCTGAAACATCTGAAAATAGACAGAGAAAATTGATTTCACTGCTGCTAATGAATTAAGCCAAGGTACCGAGTATTAACTGGTTACATCTTTGGGCTACTTTGGGTTCTGGTAAGCTCTGATTGAGAATTTGTAGAATTAATCATTAAACAGTAACTTAAAAATATCCAACAAAAATAGTTGGGGGAAGTCATATGCACAGAGAAAATATATCCCTTTAAACATTTCAGTGAGCAAGTACTAAGCTTCAGTAGTGGAGTATGTGGCATACCGTGGGATCCAAACCCAGACCTGCTCTGGTCAGAATGACGGCCAGAGCAACGTTCCTCAATGATGCAGACCATTTGAAGTCAATGTACACGCCGTCCGTTATAACTGGGATGTTTCTCAGCAGGAAACCCATCAGCAGCATACCTGCAGCACAGCAAAGGGTGTGAGAGAGGACATGTTATCCTTTAGGACCATCTCTCACACAGATATACAGAACAAGAACAGAGATCACCTATTGCTTTTTGAACTTACGGTGCTCATGTTGGACACCGAAGACACTGAGACACACACTGTGGGACTGTGATCAATGAACACATTGTACTTCTCATTTTCATAACAAATATGACATGTAAACTATCTTCTGATCAACGCTGTGATTTATTCCGAGCCGGCATTAATGATGTAAAATAACAGATTAGATGGCATCACACCTTCACCTTGGGTCAACAGGGTTTAGACTACATGTTTATTGAATGAAACAGAGCAAGTGAGTAACGTGATTTTACATTTAGGAGCTTCCTTTTTTCCCCAACGTTCCTTTCTTTACATCAGTGACAGTGAAATTAATCAGTCGGTAAATTCCTTTGTTCTAGATCACCACATGAATACGTCCACGGCTTATAGATGTGTAATACTCACTACATTAATAAGCTGCTGAACAGGCACATCACCTGCAGACGACTTCAAGATGTTAGTTTGCTTCTCTTAGAAATACTTTGATTCATGCTATATGTGATTCATCAATCTGCTACAACAGCAAGAACTATAGTGGTAAATAATGATTCCATTTCATACAAACAGTGTTAACACTGACACTGGAAGATTATGTATTGTTACTAAATAAAACCTGTGTAACTAAATATGAAATAAAGGCTTGTATAAATACACCAGTGCTTAAAGCATAACTACTCAGCATAAATCCTCAGCCTTACCAAGAAGTGGTGGGAACGGTGGAAGTTTGGGCAGACGGATGAGAGCCACAAGTTTGCCACCGATGAGCGAACAGATGAAGAGGATCGTGATGCCAAACAGGTTGCCCCCCGGAAGACATTCATCCTCTGTGATAGACCACACCACTCCAAAGAGCACAGCTGCCAAAAGGACTGGAGAGGACACAGGCACATTATATTATTACAAGAACGATGTGATCATGATTCGGTATTACAAATTAGTGGTGTGATGAACAGATTATTACATGTACTTTTGTTTTGTTTTAACTGTGAACTAGAGCCTGAATGACATGGCATTTTTAAGACCGATGCAGATTCTGATATTCCGATATTCCAATATATCGGCTGATTTTCTTTTTTTCTTCTTTTCATAAACATTACATAAAGAAAGATTATCCCTAACATTTTTTATGTGTAGACATGAAGCTTAGGCCCAGCAGAGGGGCCCCCTACTCATTGTTTGCTAGTGGTGGAAAAAATTTACTGAAAAAAGAAACATAAAATAATAATAAAGCATAACCATGACAAGGCCCCTTCTACCTCGCAGACCTGCTCCACCACCACAATCCCTCCAGCAATCTCCGCTCCTCTGACACTAACCTCCTCTCACTTCAAATCAGGACCAAGCACCGCACCTGGGGCGTCAGAGCTTTCACCATTGCAGCCCCCTCCCTCTGGAACTCCTAACCCATACACATCCGAGATTGCAGCGACATGGACTCTTTCAAATCACTTGTCAAAACCCACCTTTTTAGACTAGCTTTTAACATCAAATAATGTTATATACACCTGCTGCTGTTTATTTGCATGTTATTTATATGGTTGCCCCTTGCACTATGTATTTCTGCACCACCATGTTTTTATCTACTGTTCATATATTTTATATTATGCAATTTATGTTTTTAATCGGTTTTAAATGTACATAACTTCTGCTTTCACTGTAAAGTGTGTTTGAGTGTCTATAGAAATAAAATGTATTATTATTATTATTATTAAAATAAAAAGAAAGACAGCTCTCTTTATTATGCACCATTATAAGTATAGTGGTTATTTAATTTAGTTAATACTATGGAAAATCAGCTACCCTGATTGGTCAGCTTGCTCGGACCTCCCCGTGACTCCTGACCCTGACTGACCCTGTGACATCACTCATTATGCTGGTTTAGTCAGGCTTGATGTCTGACAAGAGAAGATCATATTTGTCTGGACATGTAAAAAGACAACAGAAGAGCCTCAAAGAAAAGAGAAGTCAGGAAGATAAAGGTCCACAGGTTCCGTTTTCATATGCCTGTATTTTTAGATAATCTGAACTAAAGGTCTTCCATTAGCCTTAGTTTGCTGCACTGGTATTAACAATGCTAAGGCTATACTTGCTAACATGCTAACCACTATTAGCATAACAACTTTTAATATAGGATGAAATCGTATTATAAAAGTCAGTTGATTAACTTAATATTAGTCTTTTATCTATCTAACATTATCTATGGAGATGAGCTGTTTACATCTGGTGTTATAAAGCATTTAACAGAACAAAGCCAGATAGGCCAGGTTTGAACATAGTCAGGTCACCCAAGAAGCTGACTCTGCTGGTAAGTTATGCGTTTTAGTTAAACCTGTCCTTTGATTATAAATCAAATCTGTCATGTGTGGGGTGGGGGTATAGTAGCTGTTTTAAAGGACTGATTATTGAGCAACATTATAGAGCCTCCTCCAAAGCTGCCAGAATTGAAAAGACATCTAATTTAAAGTCACTTTTTAAAAGGCGATGACATCAAACTATTGCAGATTGTCTTGCATTATAAGATCCTCCAGCTTTAATGCTAATGCTAATGCTAACACAATTCAGTCAGTTTATTTATTCATTTTTATTATTTCATAGCATGGCTATCATCCTCCACCACTACCTCCATCATTGTTATCATCCAAGAAGCTGATAATGCTGGTAACTTTAGGCCTACATCAACAATAAATGAGCAATTATTCACCTCCAGGAACACCCATCGTATGAACATGTCAACTTACTAAATTACTTATTTTCTGTGTTAATCTCCCTCATAGGTCAAGCTGTGCCTACTGAAGTGGAGAGCAGTAGCATCATGTTTACTACATTGACATCAACATTGCGATTGCAATTAGATTAATCGTGCAGCCCTACCTTCAACTAAGTTTTGATTTGGGACCCTGAAGGCCTAGGGCCGACTCTGCATGTGCCCCTAAAAACAGATAAGTCTATGTGCAATGAGAAAAATGTTTTATGAGCAGCGTGCGAGTAACTTTTAAGACAATAACCTACTGTAACCCCCCTCCCTGCCCTGCCGCTAATCGTTCAAAACAAAGTCGGACTCGTCACCGGAGCACCGAGAGAACTGCCGGTGCTCCGGTCGCTCTGTGACAGAGACAGAAAGATGTCGGCAGCAGCTGAAGTGGTAAGACAGAAGAAAACAGAAGAAAACAGGGAGAAGATAAGGAAGGTCATTTAACGTTGGCTGTTATGGTGCCTTTTGTTGTTCAACATGTTCAACTTTTCACAGAGCCGACGTACTTGTCACTCACTTTTTGTCAACCGACCAATCACAGCCTAGATGGGGCGAGACATTAAAAAAAGTTTGACGTGCTACAGCAAATCATTAAATGTTGAACAATATGAGTATTGACAACTTAGTACTTAGCATTAACAAATTAGAGACCAATGTAGAGCTTTTTGCTCACTTATAGACCCCCCCCCCCTACAAAAATGAAAAATCTATAACTGGTTTTAATACTCAACAAGTGGTAATTTCAAACGTGTGTGTTGCCAACAGGGGAGCTGCAGAGTGCCCTTTGGTGGGTCTCTGTGTTTCTTTTGTCATTTTCTTGCTGTTATAAAAACTTTTTTTTTCCTTTTTTTATTTATCTGCAATTAGCTCACATTGGCTGATAATATTGGCAACCTCTAAAACTTCTTCAAAAGAAAGTAATTTAATAAATTGCGTGTGAATGAGTGCTGCTACACCCTTTCCACCAGTGAACACAATAATGGCAGCTGTTTTGATGCAGCCGCAGTGTATTTTGGCCCGTAGTGTGTGTGTGTGTATGTATGCATCTACAATATAGGCCTATATGTTGTTTTAGCCTTTATTGATAGGGTAGTGGATAGCGAGGAAATGAGGGAGACAGGGATAGGGGGAGACTTGCAGAAAAGGGCCTTTAGCTGGATTCAAACCTGGACCGCAGCAGTAAGGACTCAGCCTTGTACTAGGCATGCACTTTACCAAGTGAGCTAACCGTGCCCCATGTATCTACAATACTGCTAAATGTTTCAGATATTTCAAGGTATACAAGATACCCATGTCATCTGCAGTTTTTGGATCTTGTGTGAAAGAAAGTCATGACATGCAACAAGCCCCCCCCCCCCTTACCTTTAGTGATGAGAGAAGCCAGAAGACCTCTTGGTGGACATGGGCAAAATCTGTGGAGCAAGGGGCAGCAGACCACTGGCGGGTCTGTGTTGGTGCCAGCATCCACCACAGGGTTTCGAGGAATAAAATAGGTGGTCTCCTCTGTGACATTTGGACTGGAACAGCGCCGTACCACCACCTGGATCTGGTTCACATTTAGGTGCTGGAGAAGATGGATCAGAATATGCACAAGAACGGGTCAGTGATCACATCGGCTTGGTTGACACAGTGTTTTGTTAGATAACTCAACACCACATCTGTAAAGGAAATGCATGATAAAATAAGCATTTTAGCCTTACAACCTCAAGTTTTATTTCTGTTTTTTGATATGTTGTAACTGCTTGCTTTTCTAAACAGAACCAAACTTCACCTGCTGGATGAATATGCAGCTGATGTTAAGTTTCTGATGCCTTTAAATGGCTATTGGTAACCTTACACAAAATACCAGACCTAAGGTGTCATGCTGTCACAAATATGATTTCCTTGCTTATGGAAAGATGAGAAAACTGGCAGATGTCTCTGCAGCCTCTTTAAGGTACAAAGTACAAGGTAGATTACGTTATTATTTTACGACACAGGGTAATATAAGAAGATTAAATTGCCTTTATCCTACATAAGGTTTTTTTAAATTATATATAGTAGTACTGGTGGTACGACAGCAGATACTTCTGTATCTCTTGCCAGACAGCAGTATGGTGAACAGGCTTTAGCTGGGGTGGTACTGTCTTTTAGTCTCCTTTGGGCTCTGACACTAAAAGACATACCAGCAGATTACAGGCTGCTATTCCTTGGCAAATAGTACAGCGACGATATGAACTTGCCTTGGAAGCTGATAACTGCGACTCCCAGAACACCCTCTTTGACATATTGCTCAGGTGGGTACATTTGCTCAAAGTCTTGACTTACCTCTGGCTGAATTTTAATAAATCCTCACATTCAAATTACAGCAACAAATAATGAACAAAGTTTCTGAGGTTAACAATTCATTTTACAAGGTGAGGGAACTGTATATAAAATATATTATTAAAACAACACAGCAGACTCATGAAACAAAAATCAATGTTTGTTAAACACACTTTTCAGTTTTGTTAAGGCAGTAACACCTGAATATAACTAGGTAATACCATAGTTAACAGTGTAAGAGTTAAAAAATACTATACCTCCACATGGTTTGCTGCAGGCAAAGCAATAAAGTCAAGCAGTGGGCTGGGTACTGGACTGGGTACTGGACTGGGTGCTGGACTGGGTGCTGGACTGGGTGCTGGACTGTGCGCGGGGCTCCGCGCCGGGGTAGCAGGTTTGGGTGCTGGGTTAGTGTCCTCCATGGCAACTGGCTACAGTATTTGTGGTCCACACAGTTCTCTGTCACAGTACATCAAGCTGAGGGGTGGGGTTGGCCATTGACGGGCAGGTCCTTCACTTCTGCTGCTCTGACCACAAGGCTCCCTATTCATACAACGCGGGTTTATCAGTAGAAAAACAAGGTAAAGTAAATGTTTATTTAATCATGGAGAGCAGGGGTGTTTGGTACAGGTGTTGAAACTGGCATGGTATGAAATGAAAGGTTTAATCTCACACACAGGCATGTTTTGTTCAGTTTAACAGGTACTGTACTGGGTCTGACCAAGATAGTTGTTACCAAGATAAAAGAAAACTAACATGATGACGCCTGTGTAAAGGGTATCAATGAGGCTAATATGTAGCTACCATAGACTGTATATAAAAAGCTACATGTTGGCTACTGTGTGCTCGCTGCTCTATCAACTTTACATGTCAACATGACAGACTAGCGTTAAAGTTACTACAAAGTAACTGAGCTGCAACTTGTTACAATGGGATAGCTTTATTTCAAGCTGTTTGATATACAAACGTTGGCAGGTGATTTACATTAAACTACCGCTACTACAATGTTTTGACAGTTGCTTGTGGGAACAGACGTCGGCTAATCCAATTGTGAACGGACCACACTAATCAATGCTTACAGCTCGACCATATGGCACATCTAACGTTAGCTAAGTTAGCTTCAGCTCACGTACGTTACTGCGGATGGCAGAGCAAGTAGGTTAGAGTTAGACAGCAACTGCCAACAAAACCCTATCCAGCTGGCATCGGTAGCCATCTAGATAGTCAGCTAAGTAACGTTAAAGCAAATTTTTGAGGTTGGGTTGTCTTTGCGTTTGGTTCCGTATACACCCGTGTTGGGACCAGAGGCGACTGAAAATGATTAGCTGCAGTATTTAGCGTTAACGTTAGTGAATAGGTCAATCCATGCCTTACGATAAACCATGACAAGGGGTCCATTATCGGACAGTGGCGTCCTCTTTCGGCGATTGGAACGACACACTTCCTCAAATTAACGTTAACTAAAACAAAGTCCTTATGGCCTCTCAAAACGTATGTGGTTAAAAATAAGCAGCTTCAGACTGGCGACAGCGCCGTTGTTCCGGAAGATTTCACGATGTGCCTTCAGGCTGAGGAACGTATCTTAAGTCAACGTTAAAAGCGCAAAATTTACCCGGTCACCGACAACGTCTAAGTTCAGTAAATAAAGTTAATCTCAATTTGACTTTCTACTCTGACACATATGGGAGTAATAGTATCAATAATCATCAATCAAGAATAATAATGATCAAATTCCGCGTAGAAAGGGAAGTCCGATATTGGATTTATCTCCCGAGGCTGACAGGGCTTCCGTTCAACAGCTGTCAGTGAACTCAGCACGGTGGCTGGAGACCTCCCCTGGCCCCTCTCTGCCGGGGTTCCCTCAATCTATAACGTTATTAAAGAAAAAAGCAGCTCACCTCATATAAACATTGCGGTAAACACTGTCATCGCCTGTCAGTGGCAGCTTTTCTGGCAGTCCTGTGGATAGACCAGCTGGGAAATGGGAATCAGGCGGATTAGTGATGTCCAAGCAAGTATGTACAGCGCACAGGAGTGCTTGGGGGGGGGGGGGGGGGGGTTAAATATAAAAGTCACTCAAGGGATTTGGTGAAGACGTTTTAATAGATGTTAGATACATGTTAGATAGACTTTGACAGCTTTGTAAAACATTTTATTATAAGGTGATAACACCAGTACTGAATCTGTGATACAGTCCATTTATTACAATGTCAGTCAGCAAATTAATATTGTGGCATTGCACAAATTTGCAGCATATATTTAAGTTGGAAAATAGGAAATGTCTCCCACAGGTAAACATAATGTGCAAGAAAAAATGATCAAGTCAAATTTTGTGCACTTTATTTGGGGTTCAAATAAGAACAGAAGCAACTGTCCCGACTACTGTCATAATGAACTTTCTCAGTTTTCTCAGAGTCTCCATCCTCCATCGATGATTTGCTCTGTCCCAGTCACATAGGCCGACTGTGAAGGAACCAAGAAACATCACATCACCAGGAAATCATTTCATTACCAACCACCACCACCACCAAACAACAACTTTGTCTGCATTTATAAAACTACAAAATATTAACATAGTTTACAATGGGGTTGGGCATACTCAGGGAAGCAGCCAGGATTTGAGAGATTATGTGGTCCAAGTTGCTCTTCCCTATCAAAAATACTATCAAACACCAAAGATAAAGTTATTTCCCACCATGAGGATCTGAGACATTTAGATTTTTTTAATTTATTGACCTAAAAGCAGTTAAATTTAAGTATAGCGAGTCTAAATAAATACTGAAATCAGCCTTTAAAATATCCACTAGTATCTGGTTTTTAATGTTAACTCTCACTAGGTTGCAAAGCCCCTAAAATTTCCAGAACAAGTGCAAAGTACCTGGACCTCCTTGTCCTTGGTTAGAGCTATGGCCTTGCAAAAACTCCCTGTTGATACACTATACCACATACATGCCATGAAATGTATACGTTATACGCAAGCACTCACCTCATCTGAGGCCAGGTATACACACAGGTGAGCCACCTCTTCAGCTGTGCACATCCTGCCAGTTTTCTGTCTTGCCATGAAATTCTTGTACGCCTGAGGAGTTACAGTTGTAGCATTTATTACCTTAAATACCCAAACATCAGGACTTCTTTTAAGATAAGATATACCTGTTAAATGACTCATGCAGTCATTATTGTCAGATGAAGAATGGAGAAGTAAATCAGTCTGCCATACCTGCTCCGGGTCAGGTTGGGCCTGGATCCTTTCCCTCAGTGATGGAGTATCAACAGTACCTGAGAAAATATAAAAGAACATCTGAAACCTTCATTATGAAAACAACGATATTGAATACAGAAAGATAGATAGCCCTTGACTACTAACACTCCAAATACCAGCCTGATGAGTTTGCACAGCAGTTATTTAGACTGCCTTCAGATACAAACTCAAGGCTTGCATATCTTTGAGAAACACACTGTACTCAAACATGAAAAGCACTTCAGTTATTCTAAAGTTGAGTTTTTGTTTTCAGGCATGTCTACGGTACACTGTTACCACTTGAGGAAGAATGAGAAGGATGCAGTGACATGGTTTTATGTTGCAGGGGAACTTACCAGGACAAACACAATTACAGCGAATGCCTTTGTCAATGAAATCGGCCGCTATAGATTTGGTTAACCCAATCACTGCAGCCTTGGAGGTACTATAGACACACCGGTTCACAACACCTGTGTCGAGGGAAACACATGTCACTCACACAGACACACACACGCAAAGCAATTATCTGAGATAAGAGGATTACAATGAACATGGTCATACTTCAGCGACTTCATGCCCCTTTAATTGGGCATACTATTTGTTCTACAATCATCTACAGTGAAAAGAACTGTGGAAGATCATTTACCTTTTATGCTTGATGCAACAGATGCCATGTTAATTATGTTTCCGGACTTTTTTGCCAACATCTAGAATGACAAAATTAAGTAGAAAGGCAGCCTACAAACAGAATATAAGTGTTTTTTATATAACAAATAAATGACTAATAATGAGTAATGACTAATAATGAGAGCTAATATTCCCCTTTGAGACAGTTTGGTTAGTTTGTGGCTAAAGCTGGATTACAGATGGGGAAGTCACCGCCCATCATGGCACAGGCTCAGAGTAATACAGCTAATCCCAGTGGACAAAGGACGAGAACAAAATAAAAAGCATATGTCACTCAATTTCCAGCAGCATCTATTTCATTCTCTCAACAACAGGATAAACAGTGTTAAGCGCTTGGTCAAATGGACAAAAGGTCACCTTAGGCAGGAAAGCCTTGCACATGAGGTACATGCTCCGGACGTTCACGTTCATTGTGAAGTCCCAGTCGGCCTCTTTGCAGTGCAATATGGAGCCGGAGTGCACAAACCTGCAGATATTAGAGGACGCATAAACTTGGAAAGCAGCAAGAATGGTATTACATAAGGACAGTATTATTATGTAATTATTAAACATATGGCTTTAGCTAAAAGGTAAAATACCCCATACGTCAATCAGGATCTAAACAGAAAAGCATTAGAGATCAATATAAGATATACATTTTTAAACTAAAAATTAAAGCAGCTAGAAATGCTGTGGTAACTCCCTCAACATTTTACTGTGCCTTAAATGTGTCAATATAGAGACCTTTGTTAAAGAGATTGACAAAAGTTCAAGTAGAGGTTAAAACTTAACTAAAAGTATGGGGATACTGGAAATGTAGTTAAGCAGGAGATGGATAAACGTGCCTAATGCGGAGACAGCATGCAGAGCTGCTGTGCACTTATTGTGCGTATTGCACAGTTAGAGCTGAAACAATTAGCCAATTAATTAATTAGACAAAGGAAAATTTAATTAACTGTCTCGATCAAGTTATTTAAAAAAAATGCTCCAAAGCGACATACATTTGAGGAACAACATGCCAGCCAATAAAAGATTAAGAGACCTGCATTTAACAATAGATAATAGTAAGATCTAATAACACGTATGGAATCAATGGGGTAAATACGTAGGGAAAGAATAATAGTTTCGAAATTGTGCAATCAAAACAAAGGAATTATAAGGAGACAGAAAAAGAAGAGCACAGGAAGTGCATGTTAGGGGTTAGAGGTGTTATAAGAGAAAGTGTTCTTGGAAGAGATGAGTTTTCAAGAGCTTCTTGAAGTTAGAGAGGGACACTTATTGTATGTATTGTGTCATTTTGGGGTAATTAGCATTTGTTTTTTTTTTGTTCTTTATTACTCAAACAGAAGTAAATAGGGCATTAGTTGCGCACTGTTTTTAGCTGTGGATTTGGTGTGCCAATCAATATTTACGGCATGAAGGTGTATGTGTGATCGACTCAAAATAAACTAAATTACATCCATTATAATGGATGATGAAGGAGCATGTCACCCAGTGCAACAGTGTGGCTCACTGACTCATGAGATTTTCAGATCAATATTAGCGTTCTGGTCATTCAGGACAGTAACGATACAGGAAAGAGGGAAAGCATACCCAGCAACATTGAACAGCACATCCACATGGTCATGTTCCTTGGCCAGGGCTTCGACTTGGTCCTTCTTAGTTACATCCACGACCTTGGTCTTGATTCCTGTTGGTGAGAGAAAAAGACAGCTTTGGTTCTGGAGAAAAAATTATTTTAGTGCTTTATTTATTTTAGACCAAACTGTCTTTATTATTTCACATTTTAATGTTTAAGAATAAGCAACCAGTCACCTAAAATTAACAACGCAAGTGAGCTACACACCGTGATTCACATCTAGCAATTCACGCCTGGCTGCAGTGTACGGCCGGCTCTACAGAAAGCAATTAGAGATAAAATGCTTTGCTTGTGAGCTACCTGCAAGGAAGTGTTGAATGTTGATCAAACCTGTTCCAGCAGGGGCAAATTACTGCAATAAGCCTGCTTCTCCAATGTATTGCTGACTGGTTACAAACACAGCAAATGAAATATTGTGAGTGTACATTGGTTATCCTGTGGACACCCTAAAACGATCAGGATGAAAGGCTAATACAAAGCTATAAAATCAGCTAAATTAAATATTTACAACTAAAAAGCATGTTAGAATAGAAAAGAATAAACGTTTAAGATACTGTGGGAAACAAGAAAATGTCACTATAAAGTATGCTTTAATTTTATTAAAGATTATTAAGATACAGGTAATAGTGATCAGTCTACTTTTCACTGAATCAATGTAGGTAATCAGATTTAGATTTAATGTATTTTAAAGAACTAGGTTACAAATGTTAGTGCTGAAACAATTAGGCAATGAATTAATTAGATGAATGACGAATGATGAATTTTAATGAACTATTTGGATCAAGTTATTTTTAAAATTAAAACCATCTTAAATATGTTTGCTGATTTCCTAGTATAATATAATAATAACCTGAATTTATTTGGGTTTTGGACTGTTTGTCGGACAAAAAAATACACCTGAAGACACCTCCTTACTGGGAAATTGAGCATTTTTCTATTTTTTCACATTTTATAGAGCTACTAATTAATCGATTCATAAAGAAGATAATAGGCAGATTTATTGACAATTAAAAATAATCGTAGGTTGCAGCCCTAAAAACAAAAATGTCAAAAATCAAAGTTAGGATAAACTATGGAAATGCATTTTGTTAAAAGCTGCTGCATCACACTGGTTACCCAGCAGATGGTAGCCTCATACCAATAGAAAAGAATCTAACCTTGAATGCCATCCAGCTCCTTCAGCTTCTCTCCATTGATGTCCGTTGCTGTGACTTGAGCTCCCTCCTTTGCGAATGCCTGCAGTTGAAAGACCTGAGTCAGAGCAGTGCTTCTGCAATGTCTGCACGTCATGGAATAAAAAAACCTGCAGCCCAGTATTTACCTTGTAGAAATTCAGAATGTGAATTTATGACCCTAATCCCTCAAAAAGGTAAGGTGATAGCTGATGAAGTGTGACTGCATCATTAACCAAATCAGCAAAGTACACCTTTTAAGGTCTAAGTGGGAAATTCTCCTCCCACCATATGCAACTTTAAACACTATGAAATTCTGAAGGTAATGATCTGCAGCGTAAATAGACCTCTCTGTATTCGAATTCCTCCACACGACACAAATCCCTGTAATGCAAGGCACAGTTTTTAAAATAATCACTTGAATGGAATCGATGTGCTGATGACCCAATCTTGACAAGTGTTTTGCTATCTCTTTGGAAAGCGTATCACCAGAGGATTGTGCACGAGGACTGTCCTGAACCTGTGTTTTTGTGACATCCCAAGAATCCCTATTACAGCACGGTTATTTACTGCACATGCAGAAAGAAACGACAGAAAGTCCTATCATCTTTATGCAAGATGAAAACGGCTGTTTCTATAAAACAAATAATCAATGCATATTATTTTTTTCAGAATAGCAGCTTGCAGTAGTGCATTTAAGCTTTTTGCCCTGTTTGGTGTAAAGATGCTGTAACCCTAGGACCTTTTCATATACAGTCTATGCCTAGGACTTAATAGGCAACTAAATAGTGTATGCACATAGTGAAGAGTATATTTCTGTAGGATTTAATCATAGTCATCTGGAAGAAAAAAAGTTTGGTATCACCATTACTGTTGCAGTGCTACACTTTTACCATTTCAATTGGCTGTTTCTGAAGATATCCCTCATTATCGAATTCGTATCGTAGTAGTATTAAAATCTGTTTGCATTTCACAAAAACTGGTTGAAATATGTAATGAAGTCAAAATATACACTGCTTCGAGTTTGCACACCGCAGGCTATTAAATAAACAATTTTCCGTCGAGGTTTGGTAGAAAATATATCAGTGAAAAGTTCTTATTAAAGCTCATTACTATTGCGGCAGCACGTCCAATCCCCTGAGCGGCAGCTGACAACACAATCACTTTCCCGTCCAGACGGCCCATAGTGCACCTTTCACTGCTGCTGCAACAAACAAACAAAAACAGGGTATTGAAAGGTCACAGCAAGTTTATTTAGATGATAAAGGTTCTCATTCATAAAAAAAATACTCTCCTTTTGAGAATTTGGATATTTACATATGTGTTCTTGAAAGATCATTTCAGATGTGAGTTTGCAGTAAAGAGTGATAGATGTTCAAAAAACAATTATTGATTCAAATCCAGCGAATGTTATGTAAATGTTGACCAGAAATCAAGAGGTCAGTGCTATAGCACAGCCTGTACCCAGGTCATGAAAGCTTTTAAATTTAAATCACATGTGCTTGGAATAATTAGAACCAAGCTAATAAAATAATCTACTGACAAATATGTCAAAACACAAACTACACAGACTCATGAAGGGATGCCTCGGGGAACAATGTGCTCTTCACAGATTTCCCACTTGAGGTTTGTATTTACTTGCATTAATCAATCATAGAGTATTATCTGTAAAGCTAAGTAGTAATGATTGACAGGCTATTTCTCAACAGACTTTTTTGAGCAGAGACACCTTTTGCTAAATGGTTTTACATTAACTTGCTGCATTTGACAAGAGAGATTACATGGTGTAGTATCAGATCTTATAAATATGCATATCGATTTTATTACAATATCACTCACATTGACATACAGTATCACCTTAAAGGCCTTATGCAGAAATGTGTTTTACCAGTCATTTTATCTCATTTGTTCAAGGACAGGCTAATCACTGTATTGTTGTTACAGTCTATAATAGTCAGCACTGATAAACCTTGCTGTACAAAACTCTTTGCAACTAAAGCAGGAGTTCTCCCTTAATCTAACTTTCACAGCAGAAAGGGGCAGTTACGAGTTTCCATGCGACTTTCAACTTCAACAAATAGATTTCAATAACCACTCACACGTATTACTGAGAGTACTTCATTGTACCCTCATAGGCTTTTTCTGCCTTAGTTTTATTCTCTCCCTCAACAACCAACAGACAAAAGGCTTACAACCACAGCTTTCAACACCAGAAAACACCAGTGCAAAGTAAAGCGGTGCAAACAAAAAGCAAAACCTTTCAGTGCCTGTTCCCTTTTTTCCCTTGAGACATGTTCTCAGTTTGTATTCCTGGCATGGGGATTGTTTAATCTGACGTGCAGGGTTATTTTATGGTTATGATTGCCTCTCGTGCAGGCGCAGACAAATGCATGTCAGCGGTCAGCCATTGTTTGCAGTGTGTTTAAATGCTGCAGAAGAGGTGAGGCAGCCTAGCAGTCAGCTTTTTTTTATGTTCCAAGGACCTTTTTTGCTTTTAAATCTAGGGCTATTAACATCCATAGCAGCCTAATAGGTTATATGATCTCACTCATATGGGAGTAAATGAATAAATGTACATGTGCTAATTTGGGCAATATTTATTTGTTTACTCAATCTTTCAGTCAGGACTATTATAAGGCTTTAATGATGCAGATATGACTGACATCTGCAATTATCTCAAGTGCAATATTACAGTGATAGCCTCTTTGACACATTAACACATAATGTGATTCAAAAACAATAATTAATTAGGAATGAAATTACTTCGTAAGTTTGTTTTTTAATTCCTGATGTATTTCATGAAGGCCCAGACCATTTGAAACACTGCAACTCGTCTAGTTAGTTAGGGATTTACTCTGGCACAGGGATTTTCAACACTGTCGCCAACCCCTCAGACACAATGGAAGCAACCCAGTTTGGGAAATTAAAAGTATGCCGAATTAGATATAAGCAGTCCCTGACTGCAATGCACCACTTAATGTACTAACAACTAACAGTGGATTACTTTAACACTGAAGAAAACGTAAAAACGTGCTGAATCTCAGGCAAGTTCCGTTATAAGGAGCGCAGGGGTGGCTTGACCGCTGTACTGTTGTGAAAAAGTTGTGTTAGCTACGTGTCTTTTGCAGTTGGCTAACGTTAACGTTATTCATTGTCCATAGAAAAAAGTGTATTACATGTCTTCAGCACAAACACCTGCTACTGCCGGACCTGTCTCCGCACTGTAACGTTAAATCTGGATAGACTCATCTCTCTAACTGTTGCATATCTGTTGACATGTTTCTCGTGTGCCTCACCAACTCTACACTTAATTACTGCAGCAAAGGAACATGCAGGTTGTAGGTCACCACAGCTAAACAAACTGCGACAACTTTCACTGCGGAAAGTCCTTCCTTAGGCTGCAAAGTACAACTACACGACTGGAAGAAAAACGCAATTTTCAAACTCACTTTTTGCTCCGCTCCGACCTGGCTGGCACCGACACACGTAAAAAGAGTAGAGGATCCCCACATGTGACCGTCTGCTTGTACCGCTATTGGTCCCAGACCAGGAAGTGTGCGTGACAGCAGTTTGTAATTTGATAAGATTCAACTGAGAGTGAATTGATAAAGCATTTATTTAGCCATGTTTAAGAGTTTTTAGCTACGTCCGAAAATGTGTCTTTAACAGCTATGATAAACATAAACACGAGTTGACTGTGACTTGAAGTGTCTGGTCTAATAATTGATAGTTGGAAATTGACCTTTGGGATATTCAAAAAGTTCTTCCTGGGTCCAATTTTATTGTCACCAAGGGTTAATGGTTTGTAAAAAGATTATTAAAATTTTGGTTAATGATTGACTGGTGGTTCAAACTGCAAATTAGCCTTCATATGAGATTTGAGAATGTCAACTTTATAATCAAAGTCAGTCAGTTTTGTGCAGTAAAATATGAAGAAAAAATAAACTCCAGTGCACATCAGAAATGTTAGTCTATTTTTGACCTTGAAATAGGTGGTGTAGCTGTTCTGGGGCTTTTAATCATACCACATGATCAGCACATGAAGCCTATATGGAGGAGAATGCCAAATGCCAAGGGGTCAAGTGCAATCTCCATCTGCTGATGAATATCATGTGATATGATCAAAAGCTCCAGAACAGCTACTTATCTGTGTTGTCTGTCAACAGCTGTTTCCAAGGTTAAGAATACACTTTGAAACTCAATGTCCTTATCTAATTTAAAGTAAAATTGAATTGAACATTATTTCATAGAATGGCACTTTACTGCATAAACAGCACCTTAAATTACATAATCCCTGTCTGCTAACTGTGGTGTCTTTTATAATATGTTGTTGAAAATTGTGGCGTCTCTTAAATTGTGTTGTATCTAATTTCAATGTTTAGCTGTGTTACCTTGTACTGTGATGACCTGACGGGGGACTACAGATGTAAAATAGCCTTTGGGCTAATTCTGGTATATTTACATTGCTGAAAATCTAAGATGTCCATTAATATGCACTGTCCCTTTTAAATAAAAAAAAAAGCACAAGTGAGACACATTTTTTCACCTTATTATCTAAATCACATTTTCATTGTTTTTGGTAATTCAGTGTGTCTTGTGTTTTTCTATAGCAGAAGACAAGTGTTATATTAATAGTTTGTTTAAACAGCCCTTCAACTGTTCAGTTTTGCTTTTTGAAGAGACTATTCTGTGGTTAACCAGAAATACTGCAGAAACTTGTGGATGTGACCCTTCCTTCAGTTTCTGCACAATAATGATAAACACAAGCAAATTGTGACTGAAATAATGTGACCTGCTGACAGACTGCATGGCTCTGTTTGAATGACGAAATATGCATGAATAATTTTCCGTTGGCCATAGTCTTGACCTGTCTAGGAGCTATTCTTGAATGAGCCCAAGAGGGAGTCAGGACACTATTATTTTCTTCATCACCACAGATAAGTGGACTGGGAGACAGTCTGTCACACACCCACGGGATACACTTCAATCAGTGGACAATAACATGAAAGGTAGACTAAGTGTTGGGCCAATTACATAACAGTAGTCTGCTCAACTGGTCACTTGTTGATGAGTCTTACCTAAAACGGTGTAACTAATCTCAGGTTTATACTAAGACAATACATAATATACCTGCATGTGCTTCATCTGAGTAATGTAATGTATATCATGGGTTCACAATGTGAATTATTTTGTCATCAGTATAATTTCACTCATTGCTTCTTAATATATTCATAAAGTCTGCGTTCAAGCAGCAAGACATGGGGTGATGAAGACTAAAATATTTCCAATAATTTGTTAAAATTTACTGAATGAAAAAACAAAACAAATAAGTAAAGCCATATGTTTTTATCAAGTGTTTAAACCTCCCTTTTCCCTCTTTCTAGTTGATTTATAGACACTTAATCTGCTTTCCATTTACCATGACATAAAATCTGATATTGTGTTTATTTAGTTTATTTTTGTATGGCAAAAGCTGTTGTTTTTGTCCTTTACATACTTTTGGGGAACTTCACTGGTTTTACATATAAAAGTCAGTTTACAAGTCATGGTTAGTACTAAAGTTAAACTACAACAGAGGAACTTTGTCAATGAGAGAACAAAGGCTGCACACATTTTTGGGAAATCACATTTTTTTTACTTGAAGGCTTTCATGGTGTTTGACTCACTTTTGCAATCTACTGTTTTTGTCTTCACTTTTTCACCACACTGCCTCACACTTTCACAATTGCTGCGTGTTTGTCAGATTGTTGGTTTCCAAAAAAAAAAATGTTGTAAGATATCATGAAGTTTATTTCAGCTTGGGAACTATAATGGCCTTGCCTTTCAAACTCCACACTGCAGGTGTGCATGGATGATCTAACACAAAGAAGCTAGTAATTGTTTGATGAAAAAAATCTTTTACTAGCTTTTTCCAGAGGTTTATCATGATATTTACTTGAAAAATCTGAGAAAATCCAGCAAGTGGACCTTCGGTTAAGATATTTTTCATCAGACTACTTCTTCCAAGAGTGAACTTTTATGCTCATGCAACTGATTGCATAACAGGAAATGTACGCTGTCAAAGGACCCATACCAGGGGAAAAAACACAGGATGTCTCTGGCTCTGGTGCATAGATTTTTTATATTCTTGTCAGACAGTGGCTTTCTTGTTGTGCCCAGAACAAGATAAGGAGCGGTAAAGGTGCTTTTAGTTACTGTGGACCTGTCCTCTGTAATGCTCTGTCAGATGATTTATAAAAACTGTATCTACATTTTGGGCTAAGCTCAAAATCTTGTTTTCCCAGGCTTATGAACGGTGTTAGTGTGTGTGTAGGTACAGTATTATGTATAAATATGTTGTTTTTTAAAATTAGTTTTATTGTTAAACCACAGAATTATATCCTTGATGTTTTTTTTATATCTATTTAAACATTTTTAAAAGTTTTGAAATGTGCTCTATAATGCACTGTATAAATAAAGCTGCCCTACCTTGTGACTCCCCCACCTTTATGCCTCTTTAACCCTCGACTTGAACAGGGAGACAACCAACTTATAACAGAAAGCCTGCCTTACAAACTGGAGGGGTGGCAGTTGAAGGACGTGGGCTGGGAGTATCTAATGAAAGATACTTTTGGTTGCATTATGGAAAATATAGACTTTAGGATTTCTGGAGCTTGATCCATACTACGGTCTAATAGTCGGGATATGTTAGGCTGCGTTGATTTTGACCATTCTTTACGTCTCTTATGGAAAGCAAAACAGAAACACAGGAGTACCCTTAAAGAATCTACACATTTGTACAGAATCGGCATCAGAAGTGAGCAGCAAACCTTTAATGACTTATTGATTGAGTAGGAGGAGAAAATAAAAGTGTTTTCTGTCATGTGGCTATATATTAATTTAATCCAAAACAATCTGTCAAGACAATGTACAAGATTTACATTAGCCACGACAGCACATAAACTTTAAACTATAGTCTCTTTCTTGAGAGATCTTCAGTTTATGCATTTAAGCAATGAATTGAAGGTAATTTGGTACCTGATCCACTTGTTCCCGAGAATCAGAAGAGAAGAAGAGGGTCTGTACTCTACACCAACAACTGCACCCCAGAAGACCCATCTGTCAAACTCCTGAAGTTTGCTGATGATACAATGGTCATCAGCTTCATCCGGGACGGTGATGAGTCAGACGGGAGGTTGATCAGCTGGCTTTCTGGTGCGGCCAGACCAACCTGGAGCTTAACACGCTCAAAACTGTGGAGATGATCGTGGACTTCAGGAGGAGCCCCACCACTCTGCCCCCCATCACCATACTCAACAGCCCTGTGTCTGCTGTGGATCCACTATTTCCCAGGACCTGAAGTGGGAGCCCAACACGGACACCATCATCAAGACCCAGCAGAGGATGTACTTCTTGCGCCACATTTTGCATTTCAAAACGTTGTGGCTTTTGTAATCGTGTTGTGGCTTTTGTGTTCGTGTTGTGGCATTTGTATTAGGCCTGAAACCTATGGGCCACCATACAAAGCAAAGCAGAGAGCATACAACTCTTATCAGCATAAAAGGTACGCTTATTAAAAGCTTTAGACAAAAAAGCTTTACAGATTATGTCTATTAATATTTGAGATCCATACAAGCAAATTCAGTCCAGATACATAAACATGCATGAAACAGATAAAGCAAACCTCCAACTTTTATTGTGAAAAAAAGTCAATTTATAAACTTTGTTGTCAGTAAGGACTGCAATTACTGAAAGAAAAACTTATTAAGGCTAAATATATATATATATATAGAGAGAGAGAGAGAAAGAGAGAGAGTCAGCAAAGAATGATAATGTTCAGAGAATACACATATGAACACACCACTGTATTATGTTGATCATATTTCAGTTGTAAGCTTGGGGCAAAGTTTCATCTCTGACAGGCATTGCTACAATATTACTGCTCAGGTCATCCCTTTAGAATAGAAAACAGAGAGATTTTTATTTTATTTTCATCAACAGCATCAATATGCCAACTTGGAAGAAAAGACAGAAATAGTATTACAATTGGCTTCCACATAGTTTCAGTGTTTTTGTCAGATAACTACTTTATGAAACAAACAGAGCTAAGCTTTAAAGCCAGGAATGAGGTTTGGGCTTCAAGCCAGGACAGGACGACCAATATTTGGATAAATTTCTTACATCCGTATTGACTTTGAGCACAGTAATAGAATTTTAATGAATCCCTGCCTAATGAGTTGTTTTGTCTGATCAAAGAGGACTTTTCATGGTGAATCTCTGATTTTCTGAATTTCAGTTAAGTTCACTTCAGTTAAGACTCACAGACTGACCTCCTCCTACACAGTACAGTCTTACTGTGGGGTACTGTTATGACCTGGCTCAAAGGGAGACACACCATGGTAAACATTTAACAAAATATGTTAATTCAAACCAAGGTTAAGCAAACGTAAAAAGGTATTTCAAACTAATATAACCAAAGTATGAGGTATGTAGTCTGTTTCAGTAGTGTCCGGGCAGAATATTGGTCGCATGAGTGTATATGTGTGCAGGTGTTGTAGTATGCAAAAACAAGGTAAATACCACAAAGTAAGAGTCCAAAAACCAAACTAAA